TTATGGAAATTATTGTAAAAAGCTGCAATTCTGGTGTATGTTTAATAATAATAATTCAGTTATATAGCGCCTAGAATCCATCTGACTAGTTGTTCACTGGATGCTGTTATCAGAATCTGATTATTATTATTATTACCCCGGATAACCCAAGCTGCCTGTGAGGGGCTAAAAGTTAATGGTCACATGACTTGGAAAGAAATGTATCTTGAAGAATGCCATAGTTTTAGTGAAACCAACGTATAGGTTAAATTGATCCTTTTCTATCAGCAAACATTTTAAAAGCTTAATCTAATACCATGACAAATGACGTCTTCTCTCAGTGTGTTGATTTATCACTAAAAACCACCAGAGTATTTCATCTGTTGAGAAGGAACACTTTGGAATCATGTCAATGTGTATCTTTGTAGACAAACGAGACTTGGTTCACAGATAATGTGCATTACAATAGCTTCTGTAATCTGTCTGACTTTCAACAATGTTGTTCCCTCTCCCCACAGAGTACTTTGGAAACATGTCCTATATGTGAAAATGTGGAGAATTTGGCACAGTTTGGGGATTGTCATTTGCCAAGAGGCAGGTGTGATTTTGTGGTGAAGTATTTTTTGGCTTGGCTTGTGCTTTTAGTAGTGTGGGTTATTTGGTTGGTAACTCACTCACTCACTCACTCAAAAAACCCACCCACCCACTCACTCACTCACTGATAATTCTCGTTATTTTCCTCCATTAAAAGTCCCTTACAAAGCAAATTGAATGATTCTCGACGGGCATCACTTTCTTCTTGGCGTTAATAATTAAATATTAATCATGTTCATGATCATCAGCATGTTTGGTCTCACAAGGAGACTGAATATTTCACCATGTTTATCTCAGTAAACAATGGTTGCATGCAGATACCAGCTGTGTTTGTCCGATCCACGCGTGGCCTGTTCCTGCCATTGCGCTGGGTTTTGTCCTCTTCCTAGTTGCTCATCAGTTTCCCGAAGAAGCTGTAGCCAGGACACCCTGCTCTAAGACACCTTTTGCTGAATTGGGTACAGTGTGCATCCAACACCTTCCGCCTTTTGTAAAATCCTCTGGTAAATTTTTGACCTTGCATGTGTCCCAGGTTGTGCATCTGTCCTGTCTACCAAGGTGGTGGTGATGTTGTGAAGATATAGGATTTAGTTCTTGACCTTGAAACTGGCGATACTGAAAGGATGCATTTGTGTTTGTGTGGCACAGCAGATCTTCTACAACACCCCATATCCCGCCCTCCACCCCATCACACACCATGTCCATATCCCATCCTCTCCCCTGCCGCATTCCATGTCCATACCCCACCCCTCAACCCACCTTCACCCCCATACTTACCCCACCCTCATCCCCATACATATCCCACCCTGATCCCATTCGTACCCTACCCTCACCCCATTCATACCCCATCTAACCCCACCATCACCCCTATCCATACTCCACCCTTCACCCCACCTATACCCCATCCTGACCCCATTCATACCCCACCATCACACCATCATTCCCCACCCTCACCCCCATCCATACCCCACCCTCACACCATCCTCACCCCATCCTCACTCCATCCATACCCCACCATCACACCATCATCACCCCATCCATACCCAACCCCTCACCCAACCCCACAACCCGATGTATACCCTGTCCCTCACCCCATCTCATGTCCAAACACACACCCCATCCCATCACATAGCTACTGGAAGGTCCTTGTCAAGGTATTGTTACAGGAATATGGAAATCATTGACAAGTTGTCTTTGGCTACATTTCCCATGTAATAAGTTCATTCACATGGAGGAAATGGAGATTGTCAACGTTTATACCAATGAAACTGTCATGTTAGAGCATTTACTCCTTTAACAAAATGACTGTATCTGTTTTCCATCTGACTTCTTGAAGCCTTGTCCATGCCTGCAGAATCAGGTAGTGTCTGGTTGATTGAAAATCTGATCTAACCAAGATCGCTCTTGCTTCCAGTTCAACATTATTGTACAGCCCTGCCCCTAATTTTTCACTAAATTTGATCTGCAGTTGCCTCCCTTTGATCACTTGACTCAATTACGTTGGTAGCGAAATGACTTCAGCAGTTGCCCATGACTCATGTTTGTCTTATTTGAGCTTTCTTCGGGTCATTAACAGGAATGTTATCATATGAAGGCATTCCTAAGCCACCTTTTCAGGCTGGTAAATTTGTCACGTGAATTACTAAGAACTTAATAGCATCAATGGAGCCTCTGACAGGGTTCAAAGCAAGGCGGGTGAGTTAACGACATCTTGTGATGACTAGTTCCGGGGAACTGCTGCAGAGACTGGCAGCAATTGTCACTCACCGGTGCAGTATGGATGGGCTTCAAAGATGCAGAGAAAAATGGAAAATGTTAAAAATATAGCAAAAGTAGATGCTAACTTGCTTCGATTTCTTCAATCGTGTTAATGTCTAAACTACTTTCAAAGAATTAAAAACTTAGATTAATGCTTGTTGAGAGATTAAATTAAAAACATTTTGAAAACATAGTACCCTTGTGCTCTTTTGAGGTTCTGAAAATAACATGGAATTCTGATTGTTGCCATTGTTATGGAACGACTATATTACAACTATTCAAATTATCTGAGGAAAAACTTCTCTGAAATGTTGAAAATAGGTAGGTCTGTTTAAGGTTAGATATTCATTAAGGGGATAGTATGAGGACGAGTCAGTGTGAGTTGTGTAACGTGTCTAAGTCACAGTATCCATGTTATAACAGCAGTATAATATCTCATTAATAGACCAACCACAGTCCTGACTTGGGACACTGAGTCTCTCTCTCACACTCACACTCACTCACTCACACACACACACACACACACACACACACACACACACACACACACACACACACACACACACACACACACACACACACACACACACACACACACACACACACATCAACTCAACTCAACTCAACTCAACTCAACTCAACTCAACTCAACTCAACTCAACTCAACTCAACTCAACCATTATATGTGATGTTGAACCCCAGACAAATCCCCACACCCCCCTTTTCACCAGACAGATTGGTTCCTTCCCCCTTCTCACCAGACAGATTACCCACCAGACAGATTCCCCACCAGACCAGACAGATCCCTCCTTCTCACCAGACAGATCTTTCCTTCTCACCAGACAGATTCTCAGCCAGCCAGCCAGCCAGATTGGTTCCCTCCCCCTTCTCACCAGACAGATTCCCCACCAGACAGATCCCTGCTTCTCACCAGACAGATCTTTCCTTCTCACCAGACAGATTTCCCCTTTCTCACCAGACATATTTCCCCCCTTTCTCCCCAGACAGATTCCCCCTTCTCACCAGACAGACACACACACACCCTCACCAGACAGATTCCCCCTTCTCACCCGACAGATCCCCCCATCACCTGAGGAGCATTTCAATTAGCCTTCCTTGTTCAACTGAAACCTTATATCTCCGACACTTAGTAAACAATACAAAACTAATCACATGCAATAGCCTAATGCCAAAGCCATAAACATCAGCAGACTTGTCCCCCGTGACTGGATTTGTATTAGACAGAAAGCAGGGGGATCTCGGTATCAAAATTATAGATCCTCGACTTCCGAATCACGGGACAGTGAAACCAAGTCTCGTAATCAGGTGAGAAGACAATGGCCACTTCTCACCAATTTCAAATCTCGGCATCCTTGACATATGCAGACATGAAATATACGCCATTATACGTAAGGTAGAATGTCCGAAGTCTTTGTTTTCGTCATGTCTCCCCGACATCCGAGCCTGGCAATCAAACAACTGCCACTTAGAGCTGGACATTGCCACCTTTTAACCCGATAATTATATTTCAGTCGTCAGCACCGCCCTTCCACTTGTTGGCTTTGGGTTTAAGTTTTTACCTGACCGTCGCCAGTCGATAAGACAACTGAGGTCAAGTACGCTGCCTTGTTGATAGCTGTTGGGGTCGAGGCTAGCTTTGTGCTGGGTGTTAAGCCAGGTCTTAAAGATGTGTTTCACCGTAAACCTTAGCTGTGCGTTAGTCTGTTGGGGGGATTGAAATCTCATTGTTATTTTATTTTTAATTCCTTCTGTATTGAGTTTACAGTTAGGATAGATGAGGCTTGAGTTTGAGGTTTGGAATTACTGTGGTGATTTTGTTATGAATGTAAGCTTACAAGTTAAGCTGTATCTCCGACATTTTTGGCATTTTGTTGTTTGTTCACTCAAACTTGCACATCAAATATTAAGGTATCAAAATGTTCCTGTTTTGCTACTTGTTATTTTCTTGGGTTAAAAATTTGCTTAAAATACAAATTAAAGAGTATGGTCAGCAAATAATTCACAGGTCACTTTATGTGAAAACTACAGATGCTAAATCTTCACATCAAAGCGTCTTAAAGTTATGGATTAATTTAATCCCATTATCCATGTGCAATAGGAAATAATTTTGCAATGAAGATGTTCCTCTTGCTTGTAACATTGTGTATTAATAAGGGTGGATCTTGACCTCATTGTTCTTGAGGTAAAATAAGAGGAAAAAACTAAGGATGTAAATTTCTTTATGAGGAACTTTAGAGTACATCCTACTCCTTCATCCTTCATCGCGGGGATGCTGAAGGAGTAGCAGTATACTCAGAAACATTGTGTTCCTGGTAATACATAAACTGACATCCATATTTTTTTATTTTTTATATATTTTTTTTTAACCCTCTATGTGTATTCCTTCCTTTCAGACGTCATCATATGAGTGAAATATTCTCAAGCACGACGTTAAACCCAATTTCACCTCACCTCACCTTTCAGAGATTTTATAGTTTACTCCTTCATTGTGAAGCTAGTTTCTATATCCAGCTAATGTCAGTTGACTTAAGTGATGCCCCAACTTCTGATGGTGATATCCGGACACTGTCTCTGTTTAACAGTGTTATAATCATCTTGTTTGGTGTGCTATGTATTTTATTTAATGACATTTTTTTAATGTTTTTCAGGAGCATTGGATTATACGCACATTGACTGGTTGAGCTCAGCTTGAGGTAGGTGACACTTTGTTTGTTGCGTCTAACAGCTGCGTGATCCTGCTGGGTGGAAACTACATCCCCCGGCTGAAGTAAATATACCCTGCCACTGCCATGTGATGTGGGTACCCTGGCCCCCTCCCTACCCCTGGGGCACAGTTATTGTGATCACACCCCACCAACACCACACCCATCTGCCCAGCCCTCCTCCACCCCTCAGTAGTCCCTGGTCCCCTATCTACCCCTGGGGCACAGTTATTGTGATCACACCCCACCCCACCAACACCACACCCATCTGCCCAGCCCTCTTCCACCCTTTAGTGGTCCCTCCTTCCACCCCCACTGTGGGAATTCCAAGCAGGGACAGGTCCCCAGCAACCTATGCTAGTTGTAAGGAGGCAGTCTCTGCAATTTGCTCTGCAGGATTAACTCCCTTAGGCAAACCAGAATCCTGTGATCATAGATCTGAACCCTCAAGTTTACCCTCATTATGCCCTCATGAGTTTGTCAGCACCATTCCCAAAGTATAGTTCCACAAAAGTGGTAAATGTATGACATCTGGATTTGGGGGATTCTGCCACAAAAAACGGTCACGCTGCTAAGTGTAATTCTGCTTCAATATGAGTTAAACCCAACTCACTCACTCACACACTACACTTCCACAATGTTGTCCGACATCATAGCGGTAGTTCTATACTAGTCGATCAACAGAATCCCTTGTTTTTACACCTGTAAGAGAACCACATGATGGGGGACACTGGTCTAGTAGTGAGTGTTCTGATTGGGGACAATTAGTCTGTCACAGTCTGTCATACAGACCCTGAAACATATATATCCAAGAAAACACATGCAAGTCTAGAACATGTGACAAGTCTAGATTTCCACAGTTTCTGAAAATGGAGGTCTCAGGACTCCTTTTCATTATATTTAATTATTTTACTATGAACTGGTTTTTCTGTAGCATGTATCCATTTCAGAGACTAGTTGTTAGTCTAGGGGACAATGAGCTGGTAAAGCTATTTCAAGACTTTAGGACTTGCCCCAGACCCAAATCTGCTTAAGTCTGTAAGGCATTAGTAAGTTTAAACAATAATTTCTAGATTATATAAATAATAACAAGCTGTCCCTTGAAAAGACGGATGTCCTGACACTGCCCACTCATGTAGACTTGCTTAATGTAAAGACAGAGTAACTGTACATTCATGGTCTTATTGTTAGACTTAGAGCAAGCTTACTCCCAAGTCGGTGTAGCCATATTGTTCAGTGTAGACTTGGAGCAAGGTTACTCGCAAGTCGGTGTAGCCATGTTGTTCAGTATAGACTTGGAGCAAGGCTACTCCCAAGTCAGTGTAGCCATATTGTTCAGTATAGACTTGGAGCAAGGCTACTCCCAAGTCGGTGTAGCCATATTGTTCAGTACAGACTTGGAGCAAGGCTACTCCCAAGTCGGTGTAGCCATATTGTTCAGTACAGACTTGGAGCAAGGCTACTCCCAAGTCAGTGTAGCCATATTGTTCAGTACAGACTTGGAGCAAGGCTAATCCCAAGTCGGTGTAGCCATATTGTTCAGTACAGACTTGGTGCAAGGCTACTCCCAATTCGGTGTAGCCATATTGTTCAGTGTAGACTTGGTGCAAGGCTAATCCAAAGTCGGTGTAGCCATATTGTTCAGTGTAGACTTGGAGCCAGCTTACTCGCAAGTCGGTGTAGCCATATTGTTCAGGACAGACTTGGAGCAAGGCTACTCCCAAGTCGGTGTAGCCATATTGTTCAGTACAGACTTGGAGCAAGGCTACTCCCAAGTCAGTGTAGCCATATTGTTCAGTATAGACTTGGAGCAAGGCTACTCCCAAGTCGATGTAGCCATATTGTTCAGTACAGACTTGGAGCAAGGCTACTCCCAAGTCGGTGTAGCCATATTGTTCAGTACAGACTTGGAGCAAGGCTACTCCCAAGTCGGTGTAGCCATATTGTTCAGTACAGACTTGGAGCAAGGCTACTCCCAAGTCTGTGTAGCCATATTGTTCAGTACAGACTTGGAGCAAGGCTACTCCCAAGTCGGTGTAGCCATATTGTTCAGTACAGACTTGGAGCAAGGCTACTCCCAAGTCGGTGTAGCCATATTGTTCAGTGTAGACTTGGTGCAAGGCTAATCCAAAGTCGGTGTAGCCATATTGTTCAGTGTAGACTTGGAGCCAGCTTACTCGCAAGTCGGTGTAGCCATATTGTTCAGGACAGACTTGGAGCAAGGCTACTCCCAAGTCGGTGTAGCCATATTGTTCAGTACAGACTTGGAGCAAGGCTACTCCCAAGTCGGTGTAGCCATATTGTTCAGTACAGACTTGGAGCAAGGCTACTCCCAAGTCGGTGTAGCCATATTGTTCAGTACAGACTTGGAGCAAGGTTACTCCCAAGTCTGTGTAGCCGTATTGATCAGCATGCAGACGAGCACCAGCTCGGGGGTATATATTTTACTTATGTCCCGGTGTCAACACCTGGCGAGAGTTTGCGTACACCCAGTCTACCTAGCTGTGGTAATAACAGGTTCATTAAGGAGTGCTGTTGTTTGTGTGGATCCTGCAACTATTTCGGGGTCCCATGAAGGAGTGAAGTCAATAAAAACCCGCTGAGACTGTGCTCATGGAGTCACTGTTTTCTGCTCAGGTCACACTGTCATTGATTCCCTGTGTGTTGTTCGCAACTGTTGGTTTAGGTGGAACTAAGATGACACCTTGCTTTCTGGATCTCATACACCTGACCACACCTGATGACACCTGACATTCTGGATCTCATACACCTGACATTATGATCTCATAACCTGACGACACCTGATGATACCTGACATTCTTGATCTCATACACCTGACATTATGATCTCATAACATGATGACACCTGACATCCTGGATCTCATACACCTGACAACACCTGACATTCTGGATCTCATACACCTGACAACACCTGACATTCTGGATCTCATACACCTGATGACACCTGACATAAATCTGATGACACCTGATGACACCTGACATTCTGGATATCATACACCTGACGACACCTGATGACACTTGACATTATGGATATCACACACCTGATGACACCTGACATTCTGGTCTTGTACACAAGACCTTCTGATCTGGTCCACTTGGACACCTGATGACCCCTGGCTTTCTGATTTCATAGGTATAATAATCTTGGACATTATATGGTATCAAGATGAGATCAGATGATGCTGTTGTGATACCATCTGTCTGATGAGTGAGTGAGTGAATTTAGTTTTCCGCCAATTTTATCAATATTCCAGCAATATCACGGTAGGGCACACAAGAAATGGGCTTCACACATTGTACCATGTTGGGGATTGAACCCGGCATACGAGCGAAGGCTTTAATCACTAGGCTACCACACTGCCCCACAGTAGGACGATGATGATGACGATGATGATAATGATGATGATGATGTTGACGAAGATAATGAAGATGATGATGTGATAGCAGTGCGATGATGATGATGATGATGATGCCTCAGGTGATAAATGCATCGTCGCGATGTCTCCATGTAATGATGATAAATCGCTGACGGTGTTGCGCTGACCACCTAGACCATCACCCAGGTGTAGCACCCTCCTGTGTATGTACAGCATAGGTCATGCAGCTCAACCCCAGCACACACTCCAGCTCCGATCAAGGGATGCCTCAAGTTCCTGGCGAAAATGCCAGCATCCGTTGAGCGGCCCAATCTATGTAGCCTCATCAATAGTTAATACTAGCAGCCGACTCTGACATTTTACCAGTGGTAATGGAAGTGGTTGGGCTGGTGTCAGAGACAGTCAATGAAATAGATTTGTTGATTGTTGTGGCACTGGGGCAGAGGACACAGTTTATCCATAAGCTGCTTGCCCTTGTATGTGACTCACCAATGAGGATTTGGACACCAGTGCGTCAGGTCTTGATTCACTAGATTGGCTGCCTTGCAGTTTTACAAGGGGGGAAGTTATAGCGCCCAACTCTCCCTGGCACGATGGAAAATGGAAATTTGTAAAATGGGAGATTGTAGAAGGGGAAAAAATGGCAATTTGTGTGTAGGTTACGAGAGGGGTGAATGGAGCTAGTTAATTCTCTTGCTTGTGTAAGACGGTCTTAGGGGTTACGTGTGTAATTCTTAGATCGGGGATTGAAAATGATTATACAATATGATGCCATTTCCATCTCGTTTGCATTGCTTCACGGAATTCTTTAAAAAGGATTTTCAATTACCACTGCAGGATATTAGGAAACTTCAAAAAGGAATTTTGATTGAAATACAAAAAGTTCTCATTTCATATTAAAAATGCATGAATATTTGACAATATATTACAATAAACAAGAAATCAGTGAAAGCAAACAAGATATATGTCTAAAGCTTATTTCCTGTCAATGTTTGCTCAGCAGGGAGATACTATTTTCTTTGAAGGAATAACTGCCATTGTTATGTGGTTTTGCTGTGGGTCTTTGTCTAGTGGCTGATATATAATGAGGTCACTTCTGGCCATAATGTCGACATTTAATGATCAACTGACCTACTTACAGAATTAGAACAAGCAAATTAAAACTCAATTATATCTCTCTAACATCATTTCCTCATTGTGTCTGGGATATTCGAGCAGACAGTTAACCAATACCAGCATCAGTGTTGAAACTGCTTGGCTTCATTGTTTGAGGTCTTCAGGTTGGAGATGATTATATATTCTCATTGATACACTACGGACGAGAAGGAAGGCAATATGGCGATATACTCGGCTCTTCAGAAGTATGTAGATTTTATATGAAAGCAGATAAATCACACTGCTGTAGAGATGTATTTAACACTTTGAAGGCTGATCGCTTGCTGAAATCTTAGTTATTGTTCATGAAGCGAGACAACTTGTGAAGTTAACAGCTTTTATCAATATTGGACTAATTTTGGTCCATATGGCATAGATAGATCACAAAGCATATGTCCAGTTTGAAATTATGGGATAGTTTATTACGCTATTTATTTGA